CTCAAGTTCATTGTGTACCTTTCTTTCATATAATTTGTGAAGTATTCCTCTTTGAATACTAACATTTGAATTTGTTTAACTGATTTTAAAGTACATGTATATTTTGGTCAATGCGTGGAGGAAAAATGAGGAACTGTGGCCCTGAGTGTTCTAAGCATTCCATACTGTATTTTTTCTTAAGAGTGCAGCTCAGTTAAAAGAGAAATGTGTTTCGTACTTTGTGAAAATTTTAGTTACTTATTATGTGTCATGCTCATGATAAATAAAGATGTTATGCATGTGCGCAGGACTGCGTGGCTCCAATGTTTAATTAAAATAATGCTTTTCAAAAAAGTGTGGTCCTTCTTATGACATATTAGAAATGCGTTAAAATTTTTAAAGTTGGTGACTATAGTAGATCATTATATGGACTTTGTGTCATTATTACTTATTTTGTATAATTATTTGTGTGTAATTTTATTTATTATCTATGAAAAGTTAAATGTCAAAAAGCTGTAAAAGTTCATTAGTAAGCAATGTCAGTTTGAAATTTCTATCTTAAAATTATTTGTTTTAGGTCTTTTATGTTAATTACTATGTTAGATCATAATTTGGAACTCTACTCAATATTTCGTGTAATGTATCATAACTATGTAGGAGTCATTTGTCAGGTATGATAAATTAAATTTCGTTCTCAAAAGGCTGTAAGAGTTCAGTGCTAAATAAATTATTGACAATGGGAAATATGGGTATATTTCAGTTAAAATACAATGAATACGTTAAAAATATTCCAAGTTAAAAAAATTTTTATATTCCAAATTGGGAAAAAGGCGATAAAGTTTCATTTCCATGGCTGAATATTAATGCCATGTGTATTATAGACTTTAAGTTCTTCACAAAATGTGACTATAATTCAAATTTAAAATAATTCATTACAATGTGGATATTCTTCTCTGTAGTTAAAATATAATTCAATCTTCTGTACCTTGTTAAGAGAGTTAGGCTGTGATAAGTTCAAATAGAGTAGTGTTTATAAAGTTCTGCGGTAAATGGTGGAATCATATTAAGAATCCGAGTGACGTTTTCACATGAAGGAAAAATCAAGGTTCAGTGTATGTTTCGTGATTTAAGTAGGATGTGTGCAAGAAAATACAAGATATTTTTCGTAAAATATTTCAAAGAGTTAGCAAAATTTGTGTTAGTAGTATAAATGAATCTTACTGAATAAAAGGGAGTGTTCTGAATATATATGTATAAATGTCTGTAGAGTAAAATAAGAAGAAATGAAGTACTATTGGTATGTATCTAAACTTAACTGGGTAGAAATGCTCCATGCATTGGTTTGAGTGGGCTTCATACCATGAAAATTTATTGCTCCTTGTAAGATTTGTTTTAAAGTTAGTAAGTCTTACAATAAAGAAACATGTGTAAGTCTGTATTTATTATGGGAAAAAGGAATCAAAAATACAGCATAAATATGTTTTTATAAGTTAAATATAAGGGTAAATGTGTAAATGGAAAGTGTAAAAAATTACATTTGTCAGACATAGTTTGGTGAATCCTTTAAATAAAAGTAAGACGTGTTAAAAGGGAATCAACAAAGTTTTGTATAGTTGGCCAAAAAAGTTAATACAGCATTAAGTTAGTACAATGCATTAGAAGGAAAAGTTCTGAGTATCTCCAACTTAGTAGTAAAAAAGTAAGAAATGTAGTATTCCAGTTAAAAACTATATAGAATTAAGAGCATTGTGTATATTGGCTTAATGTTACAGAAAATATTATCTAGTGAAGTTATATGCATGTAAATTCCAGCTTAAAATTTCAAAGACACAGAAATGTAGGTAAGTTTACTTTTGGAGAAATGGAAATGTAACATCGTATTGTATTTAAAACAAGGGGAAAAAGTTAAGGGTAAAATAAAAATGTAACAAAAAAAAAAACATTTGTGTAAACAAAAAAAACTCAAAAAAATTAAAATTATGAAACTAAATATTACTTTTGTAAAAAAATTAAGTTAAAATGTAGTAACAACTTTTTTTAAAATAAAAAGCGGAATAGGGAAAATTAAATTTGGAAAAAAAATATTTTCTTTTGTAAAACCAAAAAAAAAAAAGTTTAAAAACAAAAAATTAAAGTAAAGTAAAGTAAAAATACGAAAAGGAATAAATTTTTGGGAAAAAAAAAAAAAAACTTTTGCAAAATAAAAAGTGAAAAAGAAAAAATTCAATTCGTAAATAAAAATATTACTTTTGTAAAACCAAAAAGAAAGTTAAACAAAAAATTAAAATAAAGTAAAAATACAAAAAGGAAAAAATTTTGGGAAAAAAAAAAAAAAAAAAAAAAAGCTTTTTGCAAAATAAAAAAGTGAAAAGGAAAAATTCAATTCGTAAAAATAAATATTACTTTTGCAAAACTAAAAAGAAAATTAAATATAAAAAAAAAAACTTTTGCAAGATAAAAAGTAAAAAAAATTTAAATTCACTTTTGTTGAAGTTAAAAATAAAATTTATGTTTGGGAAAGGGAAAAAAATAAAATAAAATTAATAAATTACTAATAACTTAAAAAAGTAAGAATGAGATGAAAATTGAAAACAATTAAAAATATCTTAATAATAAAAAAAATTAAACCGTGGGAAAATCTTACATTTAAAACAGCAATGAATAAAGTAATGATTAAGAAGCCAAAAGAAATCCTAGCCGTCGTGTAAAACAAATGTGTGACGCGGTTTTCATGTCAAAGCGCATGCGCAGACTTTCAGCCTTATGTCATCAATGGTGCAAAAACTCAAAGGAACAAAGAGAGTTTCAAATAACAAGTCTGATAAGAGGACAAGGGTAGCCGAGGGTAAAGCTCTAGACTCCCACCCCAGAGATAGCGAGTTCGAATCCCAGCGGTGGAGTTACTTTTAAAATTCAGAGAAAATAATATTAATTTCCACAAAAATTCATTAAAGGTAATAAGTAAAATAATGATGTACTAAAAAGTTAAAATTAATGACGTATTAAAAATTAATCAAATAACAAAATAATATTAATCATATGTCAAATAATTAAAAATAATAAATTAAAAGTGATGTCATTCCAAACACGTAGTTCAAGAGTTCGTTGCCATAAAGCCTAAAAAAATAATCGTTGCCACACCATAAAAACGAAACTTCCAAAAAACTTAAATTCTGAAATTTCCATTCACTCCTACTTCCACTTTCAAACAAACACTTCCACTTCGAAACCACTCAACTCCACTCGTCAACATGGCGGCACTTCCGGTCACGTAATCCAAGCCACGCCCCTTTTCTGTGACGTCACTTCCGTAGCAAGAGTACCTCCGCTTACTACTCACGTGCATTTAACATTTAATAAGTAAATTTAACATCTATACATAATAGAATTCGGAAATATGCAACCGTCAAAAACCGGCAACGATGAAAAAACAAATAAAACGAAATAAATAAATGTCTTTATTATATGCGGCTTAAGTGTCTGTTTATCGCCGATAGTTTATGGGTTGCTTGCGTATATGTACTAGCCAATGGGGTGAAGTTGCCACGGCACAGGTTTGATGTTTCAATTGAGACATAGACAATTTCCTGTAAATTTTGCCTTTGCTATGACCATCCATAAGTCTCAGGGCCAAACGCTTAAGCGTGTTAGCATTTTTTTACCTGATCCTGCATTTGGACACGGTCAGCTTTATGTTTCCTGTTCAAAAGTTCGACGTTCAAAAGAACGGACGTAAAATTAAAATAATGGATGGTCCTCTGCAGGGCGAGCTTAAAAACGATGGAAAGACCTACAGAAGAAATGTTGCGTACAAAGAGATCTTTGACATGTGAATTAACATTTTATTATTTAAATCACCTTTATTTATTAAGCTAGCGGTGGCTCTTAAGAAATGTACCGCCAGTGGTTTCCTTCACTGCACTCTACTTTAAGCAATTAAGCAAGTAGAAGGGAAAACCCTGTGGGGCAGTAAGCGAAGGGGCGTCCTCGCCGCCTGCCCTGGGTAATTCAGTTTGAATTAACAGACACCTTTGCACAAATCATTTTAATTACAATTTATAATACCTAAAACAGCGGTCATTTCGTATGACCGCCGGGCTTTCTAGTATATATATAAACAACTAATATAAAATAATAGACACTAGCGCTAAAGCAATTGAGACTGAAAAAAAATGTTTGAAAATTTAACCCAAATTTTTCTAATGAGAAAGAAAAAATATTAAACGTGCAAAATAGTTGGACGTGCAGAAATGTTGTAAAAGAAAAATACTTTTTAAATTTTAGTAAATTAATTTTATGGCAATAAAAGCACGATTCAAAAATCCTTAATTTAATTCTTTCAAATAATCTTAAAATTAGAATTAATTTTAATTATTCATAGTTTAATAATTCAGTTAGGACTTGTCAGGGGGCGATTAATGAAAATATTAAACAGGAATAATTAAAGAATACTGAAAGAGTGTTACAAATTAAAATAATATATTTAAAATACAAAGACAAGTCCCGTACCCGAACAGTGAAAAAATACCCCAACACGAATTCAGATTCTAAAGAAAATACTAAATAAACATTAAATCTAAGAACATTATTAGAAGAAGAAATTACTAAATAACCACAAGTAAAAACATCAGAATAAAATAAAAATTGAAATCTTTAGATTATTACATAAAAACGTGAAAAGAATAAATGAAAACTCTAAATTAAATCACGTCAAATTTACAAGATTATACAAGTAACCAAATATACTAAAGACCTAGTACAAAATGTCATCGGTGCTTAAAAAAGATGGAAACGTATGTTTAAAACGCCAAAAGAATGCTAATATTGTGGTATATTCCGAAAAAAATTTTTTTTAGTTTGTAAACGCATTTCTGTTTTATACATATAAATCTGTGTTTTATAATATACACATACAATTATTCCTGTTAAACAGCTATTTTGAAATTCGTTTTCGTTTTTAAAAAGGACTGAGCAAAAGTTAATTTCAATTGCAGTTTAAGGAATAAAAGTTATTTAGTTACCTGCTTAATCCAGTTAAAATAATTTGGTGCTGATGCCCACATTTCTGAAGGATAAATTCCCGTTTCACAAGTTCGAGTCGTAGAAGATGAAGTGGGTGCTGTTGATGCTAAAAAGGCCTGTAAGTCAGCTATTCTTTGGATGGCGTGCCTGAAGTAAAAAGCAAATAATGAATTGGTTAATTCTACCGGAAATATACTTTAGTTTACGGTCTCTAAACTTTACTTTCATATTAGTATCTTACGCGTTCCATGAGGAATTAGTTTTCGTTGTTTCTGCGACTGGGGTTTAGGGAACCCAATCGCCAAATTCGGGTGGTGGAGAATCGTCGTCCACTAACTTTTTTAGTTCGGGCACCCGAGTAGAGACATTAGGTATTTTTTGAAAGCAGGAGAGGTGAAAAATGAGCAATGCCCTCACCAGGACTCGAACCATGGTCTCTCGAATGTGCACCGAGTGTGCTGACCGCTACACCACAAAGGCATGCTAAGAAGGCGGGAGGAATGCTTTATAACTTCACAGATTGTTGGTAAGGAAGGGGAAGTAAAAAGCCTGGGACATTTCAATTCAATGGAGGTGAAAACCTTTATGTGAACTAAGGAATGCTTTCATGGGAAATGTGAGGGTTTTCTGAAAGAAATTAGTTTTTATTTTCGTTTCACACGAGCAAAATTCCATGCAGCCAACTTAGGTGGTAGGAACAGAACCTGATATGAACTTTTAGAGTTTTACTACTTTGGTATCTTGTTGGCTGATAATTTAAAATTAAACTGAATCAGCCAAATAAATAATAAAAACATTCTTTGGTACAAAAATTATTAAAAACGGGGAGAGGAAGGAATTTTTAAAATTTGAAGTTTTCATTTCAAGTTGAACAAATACCGAACGAGGAATATAACCCATGTCACCATACTATACACTTTTCCCGCCTTCTTTATTGAAACAGTATAATGACGTCACGTCACCAACAGGTGCAACTGTTTTCCTCTTTTTGCAGAACATCTGTTGCTTGATTGACGGGAACTTCTGAAAATAATTGCCTGTCAGGCTGCAAACAAAAATGTACCTGTGTCTTATAGCCATTTCGAGTACCAGAAATTTTTGTAATCCTGAGAGTTCCAGTAAAATCTCTGAATATGGACTATAATGAATTCTTATTTCAAGATTCTTAGCTTTGGTAATTGAAAATGTGGATAAATACATATAGGTACATATACAAATACATAAAGTGAAATCAATCACTTAAAATGTAAAATTGTAGCAGAATGTTATATAAATCGTATAAATTGTAGAAAAATACTATACAAATGCACTAAAAAAACACATATTAACTTAATTGAGTATAAAATAGTGATTATTATTTAACATACTTAATAATACATCAGTAATACATACAATAAAGTATCATACAATAAAGCCGCCACTCGGGCTTGAACTTAGGAAAGTAAGAACTAAACTAATCTTAACTAAAAAGATATAGAAGCTATCAAAAATCTAACCGAATTGGCCCCTTAATGCTGAATAACGACGAAGATATCAAGGGCCTAAGTAGGGCCAAGCGTAATAATAGCTTAAGAGAGTGTAGCTTAAAAAGGCGGATGCGTGCTAGCCAGAATCTCTAGTTCTCTCTCACGAAGTCAGTGGAACTTCACGATTAAATACTTTTCCTCATTTGCATTCAAACGTGATTCTAAAACTACGTTCTGGCCGGAAGTTGTGAGTTGAAATTCAGGAAGACAGGAAAGGAACTTTAACTCAAAACTTAACTGTTAAAGCAATTAACATAATCCTTACAATACAAAATACAATTTTTTTTTTCTAATATGTGATACTTTTGTTCTATTTTAAGCCTTGCAAATTAAAAAATAAATATAATCATATTACTCCTAATAATAAAATAAATTATTCAAAATTTGTTCCTTAGTATGTAGAGTCATTACGATATTTTGGAGAAGGAGACATGAAAATTGTGCAATGCCCTCACCAAGTGAGCATTAAAAATATAAATTTTAAAAATAAATCATAAAAAATTGGCGAATTTTATTTGGAATGAACCTAAATTTCGAAATGTGAAAGTAAGAATTAAGTAAGTTTAATATTTTTTTTAAAAAAAGAGATTAATAAATATTTACCAAATTCAATTAACATGGAAGAGCTAAAATTTGAAAGCTAATTTTTTAAAAACTGATCTTGCGATTTTGACAAAACTTGGTATTTTCGTATAATTTGAGTCGTAGAATGAAAATATAGAAAAAAAAAAAAAAAAAAAAAAAATCGGCACGTCATTTCAGAAAAAGTCCGATTTTGTGTCGATATGCCTATAGTAGAACAATGCTATATATAAATCTAATACATATCCTAAGTCGCGCTTTCGAGACATGAAAAATGCAAGGTGTATTTCGTTAACTGGCCCAGTAGAACGGAAAATATAGAACTGCCCCCCCCCATTTTTTGCGCAGTGTACCTTTCATTTCCTTTTCACGACAGAATACAAGTTTATAATTGTATGCTGTATTTTTATCATAAGAAATGTAATAATTTTTGCTTAAAAATGTAGAAGGTAGTTGTAAGTTAATTAAAGAGAATAGCAGAGGATACAGGGTGTGGCAGGGAAACTACCTTATTTTAAAAATGAATAGCACAAATAGTATAAACGATATCAGTTTAATATTTTTCCAAGTTATACAGAGACATTTAAAGTTTTCTTTCTTTCTCTCTCTCTCTCTTTTTTTTTTTTTTTTTTTTTTTTTTTTTTGTAATTATGGTTTAAAAACAATATCATTAACGTGGCCTCCGTTCTGGTCAATGCATTGAGATAGTCGAATTTTGAAGTTTCCTTCCACTTTTATCAGCCTATCAACGGGTATGTTTTCCATAGCAGCTTGAATATTGTTCTTCAGTTGAGTCTTTGGACGATGGAGATTTCAAATAGCACCACAAAAAGAAATCCCACATGGCTAAATCAGGCGAACGCGCTGGCCACTGAAGATCGCCCCGCAAGGAGATAACGCATCCAGGAAAATGCTCTTCCAAAACCATGGTCCAATGATGCCTATTCTGGAACACCAAACGGTCACACGTTCTGTATGGAGGGGCTGCTCATGAAATTCTCGGGGATTCGTGCCACTCCATTATCGCATGTTTTGCTTAATGCATGCTGCAACCGGAAAGATAACAATGAGCCTGGTCATCGGCTAAAGAACAGAAGGGCATCATGAGGCGTATTGTCAAGAAGGGCTTTGCATGCATTTTTTCGTGAAAGAAATCGCGTGGATTAAGTTTTTGCACCACTGCCAATTGATATGGACAAAAATGCAGTACGTTGAAAAGTACGACTCCGGGGCGAACGAGCGCTCCTGTCTCGTCTGCTGCATGATGGGTACTAAACCTACATGACAAAAAACTTTAGACACCGCTCTTTTCAATGAGGGCCACCCCACCCTGCGCGGAATAAATATCGCTAGATGGCGCGCGTTTCAAATAAGGAAGTTCCCCTGCCGCACCCTGTATTAGCAAATAATGAGAACAATAGCCTAATAATGAGCTGCATAATGACACTCACTTAAGGGATTCAATCTTAGAGAGTTTCTTCCCTGGAGGCTTGTGACATGGAAGGATTTCCCTCAGCCTATCAAAGGCAAGGTTCATGGCTCGCATCCTGCTACGCTCGCGATCACACGCACTTCTTTTCTGTTCATCTCTGGTCATCCCACCGGTGTAGCGCCGATCTGCAGATCAAAGTAAAATTTTTAAAAAAGAAGAAGAAACAGTAGAGTCTTTCTGCAGAATCAAAACTGAACTTGAGAGTCTGAGAACGATTACCTGGCTTATAACTATAAATCTGTAGCTCTTAAAATGCAAAGTCGTACAATTAAAAGCCAGAGAATACTCAGTAAGCAATTAATAATCATTAATTGCAATCTCCGGCACAATTAAAAGCCAGAGAACCACAGTACACAAATAAACTTCAGGAAATTCAAAAATAGTGTCTCGTTCTGTATAAACTAGCATAACACTATATGCGTGTTAAGAACTCTAATTTTACAGTTGAAAATTACGAGTTTTCAAAAATCTAAATTACAAGATTTTTTAATGGAATGGAAATGTTTCCTGTCACACATAAAAGATAAAAATTGTAAACATTTCTAATTCTAAATGATTTTTGCTAAAATGTAAATCAGACAGATGTATTGCTTTTCTTTTTAATCAAATATAGCACTGTCTATTGTTATAACTAATCACGTTTTTAACTTTTATTAAAATTAAAAAAATAGTAAAAGGTATGTAGCGACTCTGTATATTAACTACAGATATTAATTAATTTGATAACAGAACAGATATTAATTAATTTTAATAATTCTCGATACCATGAAATCTTCGAATATGTAACGCCCTTTTGCGACAAGCCCAGACAAAATTATACCTCGTTCTCAGACCTTTCAGCTTCCTCTTATTCTAGAATAAATAAAATTCAATGTTTGCAGGTTTTTTTTTTTTTTTTCATCTGGATGCATATTTCTTAAATTAGTGACAAATTGTGTCGAATTTTCAAACGTCTTGAATAGTATCGGTAGTGTCTGATTGAGAAATCAAATAAATCCTGTAGAGTCATTCGGATATTTTGAAGCAGGAATTGAGGAATAATGTGCAGTGCCATCGCCGGTACTCAAACCCGGACCTCTCGAATACGCGCCGAGTGTGCTACCGTTACAGCACGAAGGCATGCTGGTAGAAGGGAGGAAATAATTTATAATCTAGCTGAGAAAAGAATTAATAACCTTAATACAAGGTAACTGAGAGGGTTATTTAAATCTATAATCATAAACGTGAATAATGCATCTCTGATTTTCTTTTCAAGAATTTCTGAAAGAGAAGACATTTTTCAACGTTTTGTGTGTTATTTTTATTTATGAAATATCATGCTCTTCGCACTTAAACCACATAAGATTCAATTCAATAGCAGTATTACAAAATATTTAAAAACAGCATATCTTTAAAATTTCCAATACACGCTAGAAATAGATTTTTTTTTTTTTTTCCCCTACGATGTTGCTATTGCTCGCTTTGAAATCGTGGAGTTTGTTGATCAAAAATTACAAAATTTAAAATAGATAATAAAACAAATTCGAAATTCAAAATTCGGACGTTATTGAGAATTGGATGGCGGCTCTAGGTACCGTCATTTTTTTCACAATGCGAGAGACATTCATGCAGATTCTTCATTATTTAATTTCTTTAAATATAATACAGGGCGATAACATTTGGCGGCAACAATTTGAAAAGTGATACAGCCGTTTATAGTAATTCGACGCGAAATGCCTTTTCGAGACTAATAGCCCTTCTGGGCTAACGCTCCTTTGGGCTAAAAATTGCAGATTCCTTAAAAAAAAAAAAAAAAAAAAAAAAAAAAAAAAAATTGATTCTGACAGTGACGAAAACGCTGTTTATGCTATCTAATAACTAAAATTTTTTTTTTCAATTAAATTTGGCTATAATGAAAATTTACGAAAATTGAAACTTTTTGTATATGATAAACATCCAGACTATCAATAAGGGTTTTAAACATTTTCTAAACAGCTGGTAAAGGGCAGCAAACCTGTAACGATTGGTGCGAATATATTGACTAGAATAAATTCACTTCCATGTAAAATTAATGCAATGATTTGGTAATAAACTATCGTGAACTGATAGTCTTATCTCAATAGTTTTGGAAAAAATAATTAATAATAAACCATCTGCTCGCGCAAGCCGCTATGTCCGACAACTTGCATATGGCAAGTTTTTCCCTGCTATAAAGCCCTATCAGTGGCTGAATGGTTAAAACCGCTAAACACTGGATCGGATTCGAATGTTGCTGAATATCTAGCACAGGACATAGACCGATTCTGAAAACAGAAGAGAAAAAAAAATGTCACAAACATACATAACTTATTTAGGACTCAAACCCCACTCTACGAATAGTGGCTCAACAAATGGCCAAGTGGTTGAATCCGATGAACTCTAGTACTTCGTTACGGTTTTGTTTACCGTAACGAAGTTTTGCTTACCGTACTTCATGGTTTTCGTCACTTTTAACTTGAATAATGTATAGTAGATTTCTGTTAGAAAGTCCTCTATGAAAGCATCCCTTCCTTATACAGATAGTCCTTGCATGTTTAATAAATTACATCAAACCTAGATAGCGATTTTAAATTTATCTTCCGCACGACCTAGTAAATAATAAGTTCTCAAAATATTGTCATTCCGCTTTCCATAAACTTTTAACTGTACTGTATAACCAAATAGTACATAATATACAACCAAACAGCTTTATTACATGTACTGTATAAACAAAAAGTCTGCAATAAAACTGTAATTTATCTCACAGACTGTAATTGTAATTCCTTAAGAAACAGAGCATTTTAAAAGTCGTAAAAACATTCTTTAATAATTCGTGTCTTATTTTATATTTTAATAATATTCATCATACCCATTATTACTTCCTTGTACGAAGTAAAAAGGAAGTATTGTAATCGCGAAAAGGTTCAGGCAGCATATTTCAACGAAAATATCCACTTTAATCGCTTTCGAATGCAATTTAACGACGTTTTTGCGCGATATCTGTACGTAAGGACAGAATAAAAGACTCTTTTCCTCCAAAAAAACTAAAGAACTGCTTTAAAATGAATTCTGAAGAGAATTTTTCGTGGCGTCTGTACGGACGTATGTACGTACGTACGTATCTCGCATAACTCAAAAACGAGTAGCCTCAGAAGGTTGGAATATTGTATATACTAGGACTACTATACCATGTAGATGTGCACCTCGTATTTTGGTTTCAATCGGCCGCTCCAAACGTATATAAATATATTTATATAATATATCCACTCTGTTACCCGGCTCGGTGATCTCAGTTTCTTTACTCTCTTATATATTTGTAAATTGTACATTTTTTTTTTTAAAAATGATTGAATTATGTTGTTTTTATCTTCCGGTTAAGGGTTTTATGCCTTTAGTAAATCTGTATGCAATATTTTTAGAATTATCAACAATTTAAAAGTTGTTTAAGTGCCGCTAAGCCTATTTTGATGGCGGTCATTGCTTGTTTACATTTGAAGCAGCTGAGTGGTGAATTTGTTGACAATCTAGAGAAACGTAGCTTCCCAACAACAAAGATAAACGCCTTCATTTATTATTGCGATTTAAATCATGTTTAATCCTTTCTGGAATTTTTTCGAGGAAATAAGTGTTTAAGATTTACTTAATTTTTAATAATTAGTAATTTAATTTTTAATAATTAGTAATTTTTGTACAGATATTTTGAGTTTTTATGTATTTTTGCCTTCTCGCGAAGTGAGAACTGAATTAATTGAACGAGAAATACTCAATAGTCTGTGAAAAACTGTTTCTTTTTTGTTTTGTTTGCTTAATTTCTTTTATACATCGTTCTAGCTCTATTATAGTACTTGAATAGAACATGTGGCAACGATTAGATAATTCTTTAAATGATGCAAATTTTGTGCATTCTGAGTTATAATATGAACGAAATATAATACTGTTAAGTGAATCTAGCGCCAGAGTGTCGCTATGGTAAACAAATAGAGTGAATTTTAAAGAATGCACTTATTCTATTGTGTTTTATGCGCTGTCGGCGAAGTAGATATAATTAAATCCAATAAGTTTAAACAAAATGCAAGAAAAAATGCGTATAATTTAATATTCCGTTCAAAGAAGTCATGTGGTGTGCACATCAGATTTTTTTATAATGCATTTAATTATGATAATTGTCATTCATGCGATTTTTATTTATTTCATGAATGTTTTTAATTAAAATATTCGTAACATCATGCATTACTTAACTGATAATTTTCTTTTTGCTTTCTTAGTTGTTATTCACAGAGAATCGGATAAACACTTTTATACTGATTGTCACTTTGCTGTAAAAAGGAGTCTTTTATTCAGCAAGTAGTCACTTATATATAAGTGTGATAATATCAATGAACATTTCAAACGATCAACATTGTCATTATTATTATCATCATCATAATCATTATTATGATACTAATGTTGATAATAATAATGATGATGATGATGATGATGATGATAATTACCATCATTGTTATTATTATTATTATTATTATTATTATTATTAGCAGCCCAAAGGGGCAATTTTCCGAGAAGGGCTATTAATTTCATTTTAGCTATTTGCGTCATCCATACGGTGACCATATTTTTTCGGAGAAAATAAAGGACACTTGTAACGTGACATGAGGGGGGGGGGTGGGTTATGATAATTTTAATTCGTGCTCAATAATTTTGTGTTAGGGGTGGGGGTTTGTGCGTTCGTGTGACGTCACAAATGTTAATTTGGGGTCTTCCAAGGTGTGACAAATTGTGACATGGGGATTGGGGATGGGCAGGGTCAAAATTATCCCAATAATTGCGATCATTTATGCACAAACCGTAGAAGGAGAATGAACACAAAGATTAAAGAAAACTAAGCAGTCCCTAGTTATGTGGTGGTGGTACTAACGCGAGAAGCAAGCATTGCTCCGGCCCGACTGCGTATTTGTCAGCGTACGGCTCGGCTGGCATTTAGAAAAATACGTTGCGGGTGCTCCGATCTAGAGTTGCAGAAAACCAATTTGAGAAATTTGATTTTGCGACGATTTCTCAAAATAAAGGACAATATGCTTATTTCAGGAAATAAATAAAGTTAGAGGACAGAGCCTTTAAATAAAGGACTGTC